TGGCCTCACATTTGTGAGGGACTTACCACTCATTCTGGAAACCTAAAGACTTGTCCTTGGGGCTTCCTTAATAGCATTCCTAAACCACCAAAGGAACCACTCACTTACATGGAGCCCCAAACTAAGACCTTGTTAACTTGGATCCATGAGGCTAAGCTCAGAACCTTAACCTCATGGTTGGGTTAGTTTAGGGTTTTGGCCTAATAGAGACCCAAGCCCACCCCTTTTGATTAATGTATGCCATGGTCACCCATGGAACCCAAATCTCTAGGAGTCTCTCTATGAATCTTAGGACCCCCATGACACCAAATTTTCCAAAAGAAAGGAACACATATCCAAATTGATCCTTAGTCTCACCTAAGGCCTTCTCAACACCAATTGACCATAAAATCAACAAGAAATTCCTACACACCAATTTGACCCCTAAGGATTGTAAGAAATTCCTACACACCAATTTAACCCCTAAGGATTGGAACCACTATGAGTTACAAACCCAATTTGGATCAATTAGTGGACAATCAAACCCCAAACATGTTCCACTCAAAGTGGTTAAGACCTTAAATTATGTAGAGGGAAAATTGACACTATGACACCAAACTCCATAATTTATCAAATTATTTAATTAGATAAATTATGGAAGCCTATTAGGCTTAAAATTTTGGGCTAAACCTAATCACATTTAGGTTATCCCTAAACCCAAAAAGTTAAATCCCAAGGCCCATCTCCCCCATGGTCCATCATTCATGGGTTACCCATGCACAAGTATTACCCATTTGGCACATGGGTGACAATTTTTAAATTAAAATAATCAAACCTAAATCCCAGCACTAAAGGACAAAATTGAAACACCAAGCTATGCCACTCAATACATAGTTTCTAAGCCATGGCTCCTTGGACCAGACAATGGTGGGTCAAACTAGACCAAACTTGATCTTAGCCACCAACCAAAAGGCTTCTCCATTCAGCCCAAACACTTTCCCATGCCACCCTCACCCTCATTGACACCAACATGCCCAACACTTGGAAAATTGGAAAGTTCCCTTCTCCCTACCAAAAGCTTATGCAAATCATCTACACGTCGTTAGAGATCCCATGCATAACCAAGCTCCTCCCTTGACCTCCCATAGCTATAAAAACCCATGACCCGAGGCCCTCACTACAACACTAAAACCCTTTGACATTCACTTAGCCCTTTGCTCCCAACACCAAAACTCCTCCCACTGACCAAAGCAAATCGTCCCCACCATCCTTAGGTCACCTCCACCATTAGACATCCCTAATTTCACCACTGAAATCCAGGGTAATTTTTGTTCTTGACATCGACTTGCTCAAAACACTAATCCACCCTTCCACAAGCTTTACAAAAACTTAGGTTCACTTCTCAAATCAAAATCAAGCCTTCCTGAGCCCTCCAACACATCCCAACACCAACCCAAGTCATTATTTGGTCTAGGTCATACTTAGACCCATGCACAAAGTAAATTGAGGTGAATGTCAAGCCCAATTAAGGCCTCACTTCTTAGGAGAAGGTATGTATTCAAATTTTTAAAATTGAGCCTCAAGTTGGCCTTTTTATCAAAGAGATGAATAATGCTCGTCCACTTAACCACATATATAGGTTCATCTTGATTAGATTAAGGTGTAGGAGCAAACGCCGAATGATTTTGTTGAGAATCAGGTGATATATTAGGGTTTGAACACGACAATTCTTAATTCTCTGTCCCTTGGGGACGATGAATCGATGTCGTCCGTTTTCATGTATTAGAAACGAACGACGCAGATTGTGTAGGGCCACAAAACTGAGGGGGGAGAAGAACACCAAACAGTGGCCCACCTCAGTGTCCACATGGAAAGCACAACAAATCAGCGTAAGACGCATGGGTTTTGACGATGACAAGGATTACGCGGTGTTGACTCACGTAAGTGAGAAATTCGAGTTTTCCGAATTAAATAAATCCAGAAAAATCCAATAAACTTAAAAAATTTATATCTCTCTAAATAAAAAATTATAAAAAATAAAATAAAAATATCTCTTGACTCAGTGAACAGAGGAGAATATAAAAAAATTAAATAAAAAATTAATGCATAATTAATTTTTAACTAATTAAATTCTCTAGGTAGTATTTTAATAATTAAAAATTAAATAAAAGATAGAAAAATATAAAATTTTTAAGGATTTTTTCCTCTACCCTTAGGAACATTTCAAGATTTTTACAAGGTGAGGGGGACCTCCGTAACAGTAAAATGACCAATTTGCTTCCAAAATCATAAATATTTTGAGAAATAATTATAAAAATTGAAATAAAAATCCAAAAAATACAAATTAAAATTGAAATTAACAAGAAAATTTAGGGCAGTAAACCTAAACAATAAAATGACAATTTTACCCCTAGGAACCTAAAAATAAAATTTAAGAGCTAGGGATTAAAGTGTAAAAATTAAAATTTTTCATCTTCGGCCAAATTAACCCCTAAATCTAATTTTAAACACAAAATTAAACCTTAGGGGGCTTAGCCTAATGAAGGTTTTAAGGGATTGACATCATGATTACCACTTTAGTCATGAAACCACCCTTAATGACCTGGGCTTAACCCAAATCAAACTTAACTTGGTTAAACTTGGTTTCAGTCTGAAATCCAAACCAGACCCAAGTAGACGTAGATTGGATCCAACCAAATTGAAGTCAATTAGTTCAAGTCAAATTAGGGTTTAGCCTAGGTTTAAACCGACTTTGACCTATCACAACTTAAACCACCTTAGGTCTAACCCAACTTAGACCTAGTTTGACTCAACAACCCTAAGTCTAACCCATCTTAAACATAGTTCACTTTAAACAATCTTAGGTCAAACTAACTTAGAAATAGCACAAATTTAAACCACCCTAGGTCTAACCCAACTTTGACTTAGCTTAACTTAAACCACCCTAGGTCTAAGCCAACTTAGACCTAGCTTATCTTAAACCACCCTGGGCCAAATTAGACCTAGCCTAACTTAAACTAACCTAAGTCTATAAAATAACTTAAACCACCCTTGGTCTAACCCAACTTAGACTTAGCCTAACTTAAATCACCTTAGGTCTAACCCAACTTAAACCTAACTTAAATTAAATTCACCTCAGGTCTAATCCAACTTGTACCTAGTTGAAACCAACCAAAACTTCAAATATGACTTTAATTGGGAGTTTTCTTAAGCACCCCCAATTGCTTAAAATGTAATTAACTATAGCGGTTTGCTCGTATAGAAAGAAACGAACCCCAGAGCACGTATAATAACTTGAATCTCTAGTTGTGTGTTTCCTTTCGTAGGGTCTTCTTCGTGGGTGTCTCCAGAGTGTTTCGAGCTAATTTTACCTCGAAGATATACTTTGGAGATGTCCAAACAAAATCCACTTCACGAAAGCTCCTCCACATACTTTTGTTTGTCTTCGCCATTATATGCCCTAGCCCTTCGATTCCTCACTTCTCCATATCAGCCACATGATCTGGGATAACGAGTTATTCAGAGAAAAGGGATATGCAACAATAGACAAACTGACAAGTGCGAAATGGCGACAGCGAGAGGTGAAAGCAATATGCTTGTAGTTTCTCTAGTTCCTTACATTTGTAGATATATAGGAATAGAATGGTATGTGTGTAAATCTTCTATTTTTCTTTCAAGTATGTTGACTTGTGCTCTCATTTTTGGAAGTTTTCAAGAAAAGAAACAAATTCATATTAGCACTGCGCTCTTCCCTGATATTCATTTAAGGGTTGAATTTTGATTAATCTTTGGCATCTTAAGTGCCCACATTTTCCTTTTATGTATCATTAAATTGATTTTAGATGGCCAGTGTGTTCATATAATTATGTTGTTACTTATGATTCTACTAAATCTTCATTTTACTCTATGATGATAGTTAAAGTTGGACTAATATGATGTTGTGGAGCTTTTTTTTGACCCATGCAAAGAACATGCAAAGTATATTGGCAGATTTACATACATACCACTCAATATCAAGTTAAAAGCTCTAATAGTTTTTTTATTTACGATAAATTAAATTTTTATATTTTTAAATACAAGCATGTAAGATGTGGTGATGACCTTTAATACATTAGACAGAGTTTCTGAATAAAAAATGTACTTTTTCTATTTCTTAGATATATATTAGTTTCATGTAATTGTGTTAAAATTAAAAAGCCATAAAATAAATTTGTTTCCCCAAAATCCTACTTTCACTTGGGCGATCCATATCATGCTTAACAATGCAAGTGATGACTGATTAAATAAATAAATAAATAAAATCTTAATTATATTACAATTGAATTAATCATAAATAATAAATTAATAAAGATTTTGAGAATCAAATATAAGCATCTTATTAAAATAACAAGGAACAATGATCAATCTAATGACAAGTTATCTTGCCTCTCATAAAATAAGAAAACATCTAAATAGTTAGATCCATTACAAGGAAGTATGATCAATGTAAGAAGAGCTTTTGTTGACTCTCATTAAATAAAAAAAAAACATCTAAATAGCTAGATTCATTATTATGACTTGATTTCATTTCTAATTGTAAATATTGAACTCAATTGACCCTCGTTATTTTGTGTGTGTGTGTGTGTAAGATGATCTGTCGAAGAAAGTTTTGTATTCAAACGAGGTATTGAATTTAAACTTCATTTGAAAAAATGTTCATTATACCCTCGTTATTTTGTGTGTGTGTGTGTAAGATGATCTGTCGAAAAAAGTTTTGTATTTAAACGAGGCATTGAATTTAAACTTCATTTGAAAAAATGTTCATTATTTGGTGAAGTTTCTTTGAAAGTCAAGTCACGTTGGCGGGACAGAGGAAGTCACTGAAAATTTAATTATTGCGAAAAAATTCTGAAGAATTTTGGGAAATGCTCCTTAGCAACCAAAAATTTGTTTATGCATAGGTGTGCACTACAATACAAATGAGGTTGGGTTGACAGTATTCTCAAATGAAGCCTTAAAAAATTCTCATTTTTTTATTTTAGCATTCAAATGAACTTCAATGAAAGGTGGAGTGGTCCAAATTAGGACAAAGAGAAGGGTTAAGCTCGTTTTTTCTGCTATTTCCGCTTGCAAAACCCTCGTCAAACCCTAGGATTTCCTCTGACGAAAACGAAGCAGCACATTGAAGACATATTACACCATGGCTTCCTCTACTGGTACTGCAGCTGCGGCAAAACTACTAACCCCCGAATCCATCCGCGCCGCAGCCAAGCAATCCGAAGGAATCCATCTCGTCCCTCTCTCACTACGCCGTGCTATAAAAAAATTCCTTCGAGGTCCCTTTTATTTCCCCTAAATTCATCTCCAAAGCCGTTTTCTTTTCCCTACCTTTACTCGTTTGCAGGGCATTTGATCAGAGAAGGCGAAAGTGCACATGAATCGAAAGGTCCTGTCGCTCTCCCAGTCCTTCAACCGGCTCAAGGAGACCAATCTCCAGCTCTCAGCTTCTGTCTCACGTGCGCTCGTCGAGGACCCCTTCAGACCCATCGAACACGGTGGAGCTCGGTGGAAGATACGCTCGGCGTATGGAGACATTGGGTTGAAGTATACGGAGGAGGAGACAGTTGCCTACGTTGCTTCCCGGATGCCCTCCGTGTACTCAGCCTGCCATCGGGTTTTCAAAGAGGTTTTAAGTTTTTGAATTGCTTTTTTGTCTCTGTTTTCGTTTTTGTTTTGTTTTGTGAACTGAGAGTGTGCATTTTAGGTCCGCCGGAGGTTACCGGACTTCTCTCCTGTAAGTGTGCTAGATTTTGGTGCGGGTCCAGGGTCTGCTATTTGGTAAGATTTTGAATTTATCTCGCGAGTATATAATATGGTTTTGCGGCCTTGAGTATGTGGGGTGTCAGTGGAAGTTTAGTTGAATCTTTGCTAGTTTTGTTTAGGGCAATACGCGAAGTTTGGCCCAAATATTTGGAGAGAGTTAATTTAGTGGAGCCATCTAAAGATATGCAAAGAGCTGCTCAAAGCCTTTTGAGAGGTAAGCGCAGAACGAGATGCAATTTTCCTTCTTCTTAGCGCCTAACTACCGTGAACAGAAACAACACTTTTTTCTCATTCCCTGCTTGCTTCAACAATTTAGGATAGTTTGGTTGATTGACATCTGTCTCTACACTATCTTATAGCAATTATTTTTATGGCATCCTTAAATAACAATTTATTAAAATTTTTTGTTGACATCTCTCTCTATCTCTCTCTCTCTCTGTCTAATTTGTTGTAGTTGGATACTGGACTATTTTATGACTAAAATCAATATTAAGATAAGTAAGATTATGATGACCATTCATTCAAATAATTACACTGTACAAGCAAGATAACAGTGAAACAAATATATTGCATTAGATAGATAACACTGATATATGAATTTCACTGTTATTTAGATAATGATACTATCTATATAAATTAGAACCAAATGAGCTCCCTAATTGTATCCATGCATGGTTATGATGGCTATGTGCAGTTGATATTTCCAAGACCACGTCTTAACTTTGCACTTTATTTTGCTAAAAATAGGTTAATTGATTGGTAGTTCTTGAATTTGATGGCCATATGTTCATATCTATCATCCCGTTCAAATAATTTTTTTTCCTTGTTTTATTTGGTCTAAATATGGCATATAAGCCTCCAATTTCCATAATAGTCTTGCAACTTAATCTTCTCTTGTTGCTGAGCTTGTATAAAGCCTAGGATTTATGACACTTGGCGTGAACATATGCTAAGTTTATAATATCATTGAAGTATTGAGAAGATACATTATACTAATTTTAAGGTTGGGGGTGTAATTGACCAAGCTAACTTGTGAGCCAGCTTGGGCGCAACTTAGTAAATGGCTCACAAGCTAAATTTGATAGGCTAACGAGCCAAGCTTAAACTATTTTTGACCCAAATTGTTAGCTCATAAGCCAACGTGTTTGAGAAAATATTAATATAAAATTTACTTCAACTATATTATAATTCAAGAGTAAGGATGTGCATTAATTGGTTTGCATTGAAAAATCGAACCATACAGAGCATATTTGGTTTGATTTATGAAATTACGTTTTGATTTTTTATTCCAGACTAAGGGTTATTTGGATTTTGGTTATTGTTTTTTTTTTTTGAAAAAGAAATAAATTGATTAAACCAAAAAAGTCAAATTATATTATAGTTAAATTAAATCCATCAATCATTCAAATCAATTTGACCGAATGCATACTGACTCAGTGGTTGGGCGGACACTGGGGCTGTTCGGTCCAGGTTGAGGGAGGGTTGGTCGGCCCTCTCTAAACCTAGGGTTGCAAACCAATTGGAGTGAGACTCACTCCTAAGAGTAGTAGGTCTATTTAAGTGTTTCTTTGATGTTTAGGGTTTAGTTTTTGCTGTGATTTGCTCTGGGATAGTTGTCAGCGTCTCTTTTTCTCTCTACGGGCTATATCCTAGGGTTCTAAGTGGTGCTTTTGCTGTATCTTATATTCTGGTTGGTGTTTATCCTCTCCATGCCTTTCCCCCATTATTTCTCAAATACTCCCACATCCCTTTTTCATTCATCCTTGCTGCCACAACCTAGACATCCCTCCCGCTGATGTTCCTGCTGCTTGCTTGTTGTCCGGACTTCTGTAAACCGCTGTCCTGCAGTTTCTAGCTTGCTAGTCACCTCCTTGCCATCACCTTGGAGGTCCAAACCCTAACTGACACCACTTACACCCTATATCAATCCTAATTCTAGTGTTGTGTTGTTTTATTGCAATTTCAGATTTACCAAGTTTTTGTTGAAATTTCAAACTTTGAATTTAGTAATAATATTTTTCACCTTGGATGTTTTGTTAAATTTCGATATCATTTGGTATCAAAGTAAGCCTAACCTTAGTTCGTTTATAGGGTTACCCAAATCCACCAATACCTAGATCAAACTTCACCCAAAATCCTTTATCCTTATTGATTTTTCAAATAGTCATCCTAAATTTGCTTATTCCCACTCTAACTCAGCCCCATAAACCATCTTTCACCTCCGCAACCTAAATCCTACCCACGTCACCGAGGAGAAAAGTGTCAAAAGCCATTTAGGAACCTACCCACGTCATCAAGGAGATAAGTGTCGGAAGCCATTTAGGAACTTATCATGGAAGTGATACAGCGGAAAATACGCCGAATTTAACAAAAACATGACTTAATTGAGAAAGTGACTCATGGAGAGATCATCGTCGATCGTGATAGTGAGATTCAAAGAGGAGAGATGAAGGAAAATTAAATCTCTTCCATATGGATGATTCTAGTGAAGAGGATGATAGATCACAACACTTTGGGAATCAGTATCAGAGAAGGCGAAGGATGGAGTGACTTTTGGAGGAAATAGAGACATTATGTTGAAGGTAGACTTTACAGATTTTGAGGGGAGAATGAATCCAAATGATTTCATTGAGTGGTTGCAGACTCTTGAGAGAATTTTTTTTAGTTTAAGGAGGTGCCGATTAATAGGAGAGTAAAACTTTCTGTCATAAACTGAAGAAGAGTGTTTTTTTATGGTGGAAGAATCTCAAGAGAGTGAGACAGATAAAATGTAGAAACAAAATCATTACTTGGGAGAAGATGAAGGAGATTTAGAGGAAGTATGTACCCACACACTACCGCCAGTACATGTTCTTGATGCTACAGGACTTACATAAGGGAGAGTTGTCAGTAGAGGAGTTCACAGTGGAGTTTGAGTTGCTCATGTTGAAATGTGAGTTGGGGGAGCCAGATGAGAATATCATAGTTAGATATTTGGGAGGCTTGAATTAAGCCATCAACTTTGTTGTTCAACTGCAACCGTACTAGTCATTTGAGTGATGTTCAAATATTGGCTTTGAAGGGCGAGAAATGACAACAACAGATCAAGACCCCTTGATCATTCAGACAATCACTCACAAGAGGAGCTAGTAAAAGAACACTTGAGCAAGCTGTGAAAACTGTTCAAAAAGATGATATAGCTGATTCGAGTGAGAAGAAGCCTGATAGGAGCAGTATTTCTAGCGCTGTGCTCACAAGAAAGTTTCAAATATCATGATTTTGGACACATTACCTCCAATTTCTCTACTATTAAACAATAGTTTACAATGATATTAGAGACAAGATAGCGAGGAAGTGCATAAGTACCAACTTCCAACTGATAAAGGCGTGATGCTTGCGATTTAACGGGCCCTTTCAGACTAAGGCTATGAGAGAGCAGTTGTGGCTTCACCATAATATCTTTTATACTCGTTGCATTGTGAAGGGAAATGTGTCAACAGTATCACCGATGGAGGTAGTTATGAGAATATGGTGTCGACACAGATGGCGGGCAAGCTGAGTCTCACTATTCAGAGACATTTCCAATCATATTTTCTTACTTGATTGAAAAAAGGTAACGGTATTAGGATTGATAGGAGATGCTTCGTAGAGTTTTCTATTGGGGGTCGGTTGCATAAACAAGGGTGATATGAATTTGTACCCCTGGACACTGTCACTTTATGTTGGCGAGATCGTGATAGTTTGAACAAAGGACTCAATATGATGATTTCTAAAACACTTATTCATCAAGGATGGAAAACACAAATCTCTCACCGTTTGTGGAATCAAAGATTATAGTTGCTATTGGCATGAGAGAGACGCCAATGAGATAAGTTTTGATGATGTTAGAGGGTAGTGAGACATAATAACCGATATCAGACACAAGAAAATCACTACAACAAAGTTTTAGAATATCCTGACCGACAGTTTATCGCTAGGGCTACCGCAGTTGGGGGAGGTTTAGTCTGTCTTCACTTCAGAGGAATGCGACAAACTCGAGCTATTTTTGGAGGACTCTGCAGAGTATGTTTGACACGAAGTTCCAGTTCATTTCAACAATATACCCTCAAGTCGATGGATCACAATTCGAGAAACCTTCTCAGGTGATTTGTGAGACAGTGCATCCGACAGTGAGATCCCAGTGCTTCTAGAGACGCTGTTGAAGTCTTTCTAATCCTGAGATTACGATGACTTCTCCAACTCAAACGTGGCCGACTTAATGCCATATCATGAGGATTTAGAAGCTTCAACAGATTTGGCTGAAGCTCCATCAACCGTGGTAGATTAATGCGGGAGCTGGGCAGACCCTAGGCCGGTTCGGTCCAAGTTGAGGGAGGACTGGTCGCCCCTTGCTAGGCATAGGGTTCCCCTCAATTGGAGTGGGGTCCACTCATAGTAATAGTATGTATATTTAAGTGTTTCTTTGATGTTAGGGTTTAATTTTTAATGTGATATACTTCGGGACATCCGTTAACTTTTCCTTTTCTATGGGCTGTAACCTAGGGTTCCAAGTGGTGCTCTGACTGTATCTTGGTCTCTAGGCGGTGTTTATTCTTTCTATATGTTTCCTTCATCCTTTTTTACATTGCCACCACATTTCCTCCTTGCTGACGCTACCCAGCCGCAGTTGTTCCTATAGCTTGCTTGTTGTCTAGAGTCCTAGAAACTCCTGTCATGCTGTTTCCAGGTTGCTAGCCGTCTCCTTACCACCACCCTGGAAGTCCCAATCCTAACTGACACCACCTACACCCTATATCCAACTTGAATTCCATTGTTGTGTTGTTGTTTTGTTGCAATTTCAGAATTTTCTACTATTCATTGTAATTTCAGACTTTGAATTCAGAAATAATATTTGTTTCCCTTTAATGTTTGTTAAATTTTGGTATCACATACATCTTCATTTGGATTTCAAAATTAAGTCAAACAAAAATCAAATAAACTGCATTATATATTTGTTCGATTTGTTTTTATTTTAGATTTTATTTGGTCGTCTTGGTTTTATTGATTATTTGATTTAGTTTAATTGTATTAACAAATCTTTCAATCAATCATACCAAGCTGATTGATTGCACACCGCTATTCAAGAGTTATAAGTATAAATTATTAAAAATATTTAAAATTATATTTTACTCTTTTATATCAAATGAGGTTTTAATTTCTCCATTAATTACTCATTCATTTTGTCATTTTATTAAAATGGTTTCTCTTTAGTAATAAACGAGTCAGCTCGTGAGTTGACTTGAACTCGAATAATGAATCAAGGTCAAGAAGCTTGAGCTTGAAGTCAATTAATGAATCAAGCTCAAGTTTTGGTTGGCTTTTGGTCGACTCTACTCGTTTACAATCCTATTAAGGTCAAAAAAATTGTTGATTAAATTGTGCCCATGCTCATGCACATCAGTGTGGTAGTGTAAGGGAATTGAGCATGGTTGATATGTATGCTGGTTTTCCTTCAAGAATAAGGTTTTCTATGCATGTTTGCTGGAGCTTTATCTCTTTAGGAGTGGTTCCAAAGGCATGAAGCTAGGGTTTCCAACTGCCATGGTCATGCATTGAGAAGGGAATATGCTAGTTTGATTTGAGAATTTATTATCATCATAAATACTGCAAAACCGTAACCAGCCATTTCAAAGGTCTCTTTTTTTTTTTAGCCATCCCTTGGTGCATGCAAACATGAATTTAAATGGAAGCGGGCATTGACCTATTGTTTTTCTTCTATATCCTCGTACATCACAAGCTTTGGTGCCATTATTTCGACAAATTGCTAGAAATTATCTGACATTGAAATCTTGAATTGTTATATGGCTGTTCTGTGAAAGGGTTAGGCTGCTCTTTTTTATTATGTTCTTCTACGTATGCTACAAATTTTCTTCACCTATTATCTTGATTCAATCTTTTATATTTGAGTTATGCTTTTCTATTTTCATTTTATAGCCCGGTACTTTTGTGTGGAGCTTTTAAGGGCAAATTTAATTGCACAACTGGTACAATATGAAGTGTATTTACTCAAAAGCAATATTGTTATTTTTTTGGTATTGCTTATGCGATACTGAAGTTATAATTTTCTTACTATTTTTTCTTGTTATTTGGTAGATTTGAAAGGCTTGCCCATTATCCATAGCTATGATAACATTCAGGCATTGGGCCATAATCTTGACAAACGTGAGAGAAAACATGACCTCGTTATCTCTGTAAGTCTTCATTTTCTTAATGATTTTTAAAAATATTTTAAATCGCTTATAACCTTATTACCTTACATGTATTAACCATACTAATAACCTACAGGTACGAACTGTAATATATGGGCTGTCAACATTTTTTAGTCTGCTTTATTTACATGCAAATTTTAAGCTTATTGATTGTTTTTGTTATGGTTTTGTTTCTTGTTATCTCTTGTTTTGGTTTCAGTAGTGAACCTATTTTTGGTTGTTCTATTATATACCTGTCTTTTAGAGATTGGTGATCCTTTAGCGAACATAAAATTATTTTGAAAACTTAAATGATGGTTTGCATTATTGTGTCTTTTGAGGATGAGAAGCTCACTCACAAATCTAGAATTTTAAATGGCACACTCGATGATGAAATAGCTTAACAATGAAATGTAGTTATTTTAACTGTTTGGCTGCAAGTAGGATTTAATGTTAATAGGATATGCTAGATCCCTAAATCCGTAAACTTGTAAATCCACCCATCCATTAGATTTAGTAAATACGGATTTAGGCCAAATCGAAGATAAAACTGGATTTTGCCAAATCAAAAAATTCGTAAATTCATGAAACTCGTGCATTTTGCTGTTTGGCTCGATTTGGTAAATCCAGTGATAAATTCTTTTGAAACCGCTCTACCAAACAACCCCTTAAGATTATGAATGCTTTTTATATATTGATGAATGCTTAGGGTTTGGTTTTTAAACATTATATCTTTTGAAAGCATATTTTAAGCAATTTAATTATAGATCTACAATGGGTTAGAACATACAACTCTACACGGTTTTGATTGATGATAGACCTTACAATAATAGAAAATTGGATTTTTGATGGAAGCCTAATTGATTTAGATCCCAGCAGAAAGGGGATCCTCACATTGTCTAGTTCTTGTGAGCTTTTTTTAATGGATAGATAGAGTGAGCGTTAATGTTCTGCTTTTTATTGATATTCTTAAAATTTTGGTGAGCATTTCAATGAAATTTAAGGTTTGATTTCACGATTTTAGTTAATTCAGGACAATGTGTATGTACCACATGTCAATCATATGACCTTTTGCATCTTTATTCTGAGTCAGAACCAATGGAGGGTATGTTGGCCCAATCAGTAATGCATTGGAGGTTGATCTAGTATGTTCAGTGATAAGATGTCCCATGATTAAATTTGAATTTCACTCTTAGTGGGCTTTCTTGTTGTCCAAGGGCTAATTGGTGGTTTGTTGTGTTGGTTTTGGCATTGTTTAAGAGGTGTTGTTTCTTTTTTTAAGGTTATGATAATTTTCATGAATAGATTTTTTCTTTTATTTTGTGTAGGCGGTGCAAATGTGCCCCTTATAAATGAATAGAGCTTTATTCAAGATGTATTTGTTGATCTTTTGTTGTTTGCGTTTGGTTTGTATTCATTAATCTTTGATTTTTCTTTGTATTTGTCTGATTAGTTATTGTTTGACTTATTCAGGAATATAAATAACACAAATAAATATATCAGTCAAAAGAGGCTTTTTTTTTATTATTTTGAGTATAGAAAGAGAGATAATAAAGATCAAACTGAAGATATTAAAATACATTAGAACACTTGACACAATTTACTCAATTTTTGCTTCATTTTTACCAAATATATATGCATGTGTAACACTTAAATGTATATCTTAACAAACTTTTAACGAGATGAGCACAAACTAGTAAGGTCTTTTTTGTTTGATTTATTATATAATTGAGCCTAAATATTATGCCCTTACTTTGCTTGGTAGTTAACAAATGATCCAAATATGATCTTAATGTGTTGAACACAGGTTTTTCACAAGGATGAACGCCATTAATAAAGATGGTGTTTGTTTGTTTTTTTTTAGATTAAAGGCTATAAAAGGTCATGAATCTTTAGATTAGTTTCTAAATATGGTATATTGGCTGGAATGACAAGATTTGTTTAAATCAGGCTAGGTGGGGCTAGTTTGGAAGGTATCTTTAAGAAAATTGTTTAGAATTGATTTAAAGGTGAGAAATAATTGGATAGTTAGCTTAGCGTGTTTTCTCATGATATGGAGTAAATTTTTGGATTTATATAGATGTTTATAAGGATGTCAAGGAGTAGAGAACATGATTAGAGCTTAGTATTCTCTAACTTTGATGAGAGATATGAGGTGATGTTTAGACAACAACAACAAAACCTTAATCCCACCATGTGGGGTCGGCTACATGAATCCTTTTTCTCAATTGCGCACTATTTAGTGTCATATTTTCATTTAGTTCTAATAAATTAAGATCATTTTTTATACAATAAGCCCAAGTCTTCCTGGTCTACCTTTGCCTTTTTTAACATAAGTCAAATCTAAAACATCTACTCTCCTAATCAGATTTTCAGATCGTCGGCGTTTAATGTGACCAAATTATCTAAGACGACTTTCTCTAATTTTGTCCGTCATTGGAGCTACACCAACTTTATCACAGATATATTCATTTTGCATTTTCTCTCTAAGTGTAAAGCCACTTTTCCACCTAATCATTCTCATCTTGGCAACACTTGACTTAGTATTATGCTTCTCTTTTAAAGGCCAACATTCAACGCCATAGAGCATTGCAGGTCTCACCACCTTCTTATACAATTTTCCTTTCAGTCTAAGCGGTACTTTTCTACACACAAAAGGCCCGAAGCATTCCTCCTCTTCAACCAACCAACATGAATTCTACTATTAACATCTTCTTCTTTATCACCATCGCTCTGAACAACAGACTCGAGATATCTAAATCGTTCACACATTCTAAATCGTTCACTCAAAGTTACACTTATGTCACTAGAGCTACCACTACTAAAATTACATTCAATGTATTTAGTTTTAGTTTTAGATGTATTTAGTTTTAGTTCTACTCAAATGAAGGCCTTTAGGCTCCAATGTAGACCTCCATAATTCAAGTTTTTTCTGGGCTTATTCTCATCTTTTATCCACTAGAAGGATATCATCAACAAAAGGCATACACCAAGCTACATCTCCTGTAAATGTCCAGTAAGACCATCCATAACTAAAGCAAAAAGATAGGCTTAAAGCCGATCCCTGATGTAATCCAATAGAAATAGGAAAATATTTGGTCAATACTCCTTCAGTTCGAACACAAGTAACAACTCTAGTATACATATCTTTAATGACTTGAATATAAGTCATATCAACATCTTTCTTCTTAAAAACTCTCCAATGGATATCTCTTGAAACCTTAGTGTAAGCTTTTTTTAAATCAGTAAAAATCAAATGTAGATCATCCTTATTATCTCTGAGTTTCTCCATCAAACCTCTCAATAAATGTATAGCTTTCATGGTAGATCTGCTCGACATAAATCCAAATTGATTATAAGAAATCTTTGTAATACGTCTTAAACCTATGTTCAATTACCCTCTCCCATAATTTTAAAGTATGACACATCAACTTAATTCCTCTATAATTTGCACGCTCTTGTGCATTCCCTTTATTCTTAAAAATGGGACCAAAATACTCTTCCTCCACTCGGGCATTTTTTTAGTTTTTAAAATAATATTAAAGAGTTTAGTAAGCCAAGAAACTTCCAAATGGGACTCTTGTGCATTAGGAGTTTAGTAAGCCAAGAAACTCTCAAATATTTAGGAGACTTGTGCATCCCCTTTATTCTTAAAAATGGGACCAAAATACTCTTTCTCCACTCGGGCATTTTTTTAGTTTTTAAAATAATATTAAAGAGTTTAGTAAGCCAAGAAACTTCCAAATGGGACTCTTGTGCATTAGGAGTTTAGTAAGCCAAGAAACTTTCAAATATTTAGGAGACTTGTGCATCCCCTTTATTCTTAAAAATGGGACCAAAATACTCTTTCTCCACTCGGGCATTTTTTTAGTTTTTAAAATAATATTAAAGAGTTTAGTAAGCCAAGAAACTTCCAAATCTCCTAAATATTACCACACTTCAATTGAGATGTCTTATAGAGTTTCCATAGTTTTTTTTTAAAATCATCCTCAACTTCTTTTTTACTAATGCGGCGATAAAAATGAACTGTTTTATTATTATTAACGATATTAGGATCACTAAGGTTGATCGTATTTTCAGAAACTCAGAAACTTCATTAAAATATTAAAATGTTTATCAAAATAACTCACTCATATATGTTGAATATCTTTTTATAAAAAAAAAGCACTTTGATTTTCATTTTTAATACACTTAAATTTTATACTTTTCTTTCTTTTTGTTTGACTAGTTTATACACATATTTTTCACTCTCCTTCGTATCTAATCTATTATAAGGATCATTAAAAGTAGAATTTTTAGCGTCACAGATTGTTCTTTTAGACTCCCTATGGGCCGTTTGATATTTTTCTCAGTTCTCTAAGTTTTTACATTTAAACCAATTTTGATAACATAAGTTCTTATATTTTATCTTTTCTTGTACATTATTTTTCCACCAAAACTATTTTTATTTATAGAAACTTTTTCTTTGATTCTCCAATTACATCTTTTGCTATTTGTTTAGTAGTGTTTTTTACTTTATTCTACATAGGATTTGCTTCTTCATGAACATCTCAAATTTTAAAATATTGAATTTTACTCATAAAAGTATTTTTATTTGTGTCTTTCAGTTTCTCCTATCTAATTCTACGATGATGAGTTCCAATATTCTTTATGTTACAATTCTTCATCTTAAAATTTAGAACTAATAATTGATGTTGGGTACTTAAATCCTCACTAGGATTGACCTTACAATCTTTACAGTCTCGACGATCTCTTCTTCTCATAAGAAAATAGTCAATTTGTGATTTATTAGATCCATTGTTTTAAATTCTTATAAGTAACAAGATGCTTATTTTTTTTCTTGAAAAAAATATTAGTAATAACGAAGTCATACAATAAAAAAAATCTAAAATGATTCTATCTTTTTCATTTGTCACTCCAAAACCATAGATATTATGAATATTCTTGAAATCTTCTACCACTATACCGACATGTCCATTTAAATCTCCTCCAATAAAAATTCT